AAAAGAAAGAAAAAAAAAACCTCGAGAACTGTAAGAACATTTAAATTTATTTAGCAGCTAGAAAGTTTCATATTATATCTTATTTAAGTTTAGGAATTCAAGTCCATAATATTAGTTTCTTTAGTAGTTTGAATGACTTATTTGTTGCTAGTATTTGTTGCAATATTAGCTTTTTGTTATCAGAGTCCGTATTTCAAAATAAAAAAAGAAATTAGAAGAAAAGAAAGACCGTTTGAATGTTTGTGTGAGCTTTAACACCCCTCGCAGGCCGTCCACATTACGAGTGTTTCATCGGGTTTCATCCCATGAAACACGAAGTATGAGTGTTTCAAATAGCTTCTCTAATGAGTGAATATTCATGACAAGATTACAATGGCAGTTAGAGCCATATTTTGTAAAGACGATAAAGAATTTCGTGAATAACTCTGGCGTAATGGCATTTTTTTGTAGCTGACAATGAGCCGAAACCGTCAATGCTTGACTGTCATTGTTACGTTCCTTGAATCACACAAAAGAACTATGGTTGCTAGTTTGTTTATAAAAAGCATCAGTGCAGAAATAGCTTTGTACTTGAAAGAAAATGGCAGAGGCATCCAGATTTCGGCCTCCGAAAACTCCAAATCAAGAAGAAGTAATCGCTGAAAAACTGTTTTAAAGTCCGCAAGGTACAAAAATAAATGAGCTACTGGTATATTTGAAAAGTGGCAGAGGGTGAGAGAACAGAAGTTGGATTAATTATTTAAAGACTATGAAATACACAAAGTTGAACCACTCACGGTGCCTTTCATTGAAATGGATGCCTTAACCCTGAATTACTGGATGTGTAAGTTCGTGCAAGAGGTCTCAAAAAGAGGAGATGAATGATACCCTCCAGAAGCAATTTATCAGATTGTTTGTGGTATCCGATGCGAGTTAGGGAATAAAATGCCGGCTTTGGACTTCAATCCTTTGGATCCTCATGATAAAAGGTAAAACTGCATAAATAAACAAGAAACCTGAGCTAGTGATAGCCGACCTAAAGAAGAGCTAAGAGAATTTCGATTTATGTTAATTCTTATTCATTTTCTACTTTTATAAGATTTGCAATTTTTAGACAAATCCTGGATAAGGAGATGAAAGATGGATCACGCTCTGGGATTGCTTTGAAGACGAAGAAGGAAGAAAAGAAGCCTATCAGTGAAGAAGGAGAAAAGAAACTTTGGAAAGCAGGCTTGTTATGCATGCAAACAGCAAAATCTTTGTTGAATGTAGTCTATTTCTGTAACGGAAAATTGTTTGGCTTGCGAGGCGGGGAGCATAGAAATATCTCAATAAATAACTTTGAAGTAGGTGAAAATTTCATTCGTTTTGAGGAGAATATTTCTAAAACGTTTCATGGTGGTTTGTCAGATTTGAAGTATACTCCACGTGTAGTTAGGCACACGTCATTCAATAGGAGAGATTCATAATCCTTGTCTTGTTGACTACTATAAAACGTACATAGGTCTCTTTCTATCTCACTCTAAAGAACATACTGCATTTTACTTCAGGCCTAATGCAAAGCATTTCAAGTATGACAAAGCAGTAGTCGGTATAAATACACACAATCGTATATTACCAGATATGTTTAAAGAGGTTGGCCTGAAGCCTAAAACTCCCCATTGCTTGCGCGTTACTTGCGCTTTTACGATTTTTCAGTGCTGGAGTAGACAGCAAGATTATTAGAGACCGAACCGGCCATCGTTCGGATGTGTCGTTAGCGTATGAAAAGCCCGAAAGCAATATGCTTTCCAAGGTTTCTGTAGCACTAGCGCCAAAATGTGAAACTACTACACAAAATGAAAGCATGAAATCAGGTGAAGATGAAACCAATTGAGAGGAGGGTACTGAACAACATAAGAAGTTTGCCAGCTGTTTAGGGCATTTTACTAATTGTACCTTCAACTATATTTCTATGTAAATGATGTGAATAATCAAAGTGTAAAATGCTATACTAAACATTATTGAATAACATTCAGAATAGGCATCAGCAATTCATAAGTAATTATTTGTAAGCTGTGTTTGAAGATACTATGCAATCCAAAAATCAACGAGCGAGTTCTCTTTAGCTCAGTTGGAATTACGGCGGGTTACATCACCAGGGGTAACAGGTTCAAGTCCCAGCATAGACGGAAAAAAAGTAATAAAAAATATATATACAAGACAGACAAACAATAATCGAACAAAGAAAACAATACAAGGATTGCGTAACTAAGAAAAAGGTGGAAGCAGTGGTGTATCGTTTTACAACACAAATTATATGTAGATTAAGAAAAAATTCCATCACATGGAAGGAAAATATTTTCCGGGCGCCATATGTTTCACTGTAGTTTCCAACTACATGCGCGTGACGAAATACGAGTATCTGGTTGGCTTATAATGTCATGCATTATTAATGAGTTTTAGAAGGTTGTTTTTCACAGCTAAGTTAAGGAGGCTCTGGTTACTTTTGGTCTGGCTCACCTAGCCGCATTGAAATGGCTACAACTTCGTCTTGAATAACTCGATCAGCAAGCGCTTTTCACACAATGTCAGGAGAGGATTAAAAGTTTCAAAAATGATAAATGAAATGAAAGCCCAAGCCCATGGTTTTGAACCGGTTCATTAACCAGACACGCCCTAATTCTATTGTTTTTATGCAAGATATTTTGAAGTTTTCTATTGTTTTGAATGTAAATATAAGTTTTTGAAAAGGCCCATGGAATCCGGAGAAGCGTTATCAAAATATTACCAATTCTATTGCTTTTATGCAAGATATTTTGAAGTTTTCTATTGTTTTGAATGTGAATACTAAGTTTTAGAATACTGTGAAGATGTGTCAAAAATCAATGCTGGAGGGTTAAGAGATCGCAAAGTAAAGCCAAAATAAACTCGAGATTATGAACAGAAGGTGTTGTGCGTTTGTACGAAAAGTACCTCGGCTTATGGTAAGAAAGCGTTTTTATCATTTTAAAGTTCATATTGTGATATTTCTTTTAACAATACTTATTCATACATTTCTTTTACAGCCCCATCCACAAGCCTGGAGAGCAGGATGCATTATATTTGACTCCCAAGCCAAAATGACTGTTGGTATAGCTCTGTTCCTGTGGGCCATAATAAGTTGTGTGCTACCGTGATACAAAACAAATCATTCTCTCCGTGCAACAGCAGCGACACGTTTGTATGACGAGGGAGTAGATGAACAGCTTATCTGCGAGAAAACAGGCATGTAAAGAGATTGCTGTAAACTTTTCTTGATTTTAATAGCTCTGTTCTTAATTTAAAATCAATTTTGTTAGGTCATCGGAGCAATGCAGTTCGAAGCTATAAGCGTACCTCTACAGACTAACAGTTAATGGTTTCTGATGTTACACATGGCTGGGAAGTGAAAAAGGCTACGCTTGAAGACCAACAAGTGGACGTAAACCACCCGGTAAAACAAGACGTCGCTGAACGTTTAGAGGATTTCAACAAAAAAGTTAATATCAATCTTAACTTCTATTTGTAGTAAGTCTTGGAGATAGTAATTAAGAGCGGCTTTCTGTAAATATCGACTGGGGGTGTACAACATGGAAAAATTAAAAATCCTCAAACTTTGTCAAGAAATAGGTCTAGGTGAACTTTATTCACTAATATAACTTTTAGCTCGATCACGATAATATTTTTGGCGAACGGCGCCATTAATGGTTTGACGGCCCTTGGGCTGGTTTTTACGGTGGCCCACAGGGGACAGCACTTCAAATAAAAAAACACACTGCAAATAAAAAGAAAACGATGCAAACAAAAAGAAAACACTGAAAATAAAAAGAAAACACTGCAAACAAAATAAATCGCACACTGCAAACAAGATATATCGCACACTGCAAACAAAATATATCGCACACTGCAAACAAAATATATCACACACTGCAAACAAAATAAATCGCACACTGCAAACAAAATATATCGCACACTGCAAACAAAATATATTGCACACTGCAAACAAAATATATCGCACACTGCAAACAAAATATATCGCACACTACATACAAAATATATCGCACACTGCAAACAAAAGCCTAAACCCGTTCGCGTGCATAGCTCTGACGTACCAGCGGTTTCAAGTTGGATCTTTTTCTTGACAGTCTGATAGTGAGAGTGAACTTTGTAAACCAGCACTAGCAATTGATAAACCATCAATGCCAAGCACCAGCCATACTCTAGTATCAGCAGATTATAGCCACAAGCTGTATGATAACTACATGGATGTCATAGATGTGTGGAATGATGATGGTCAAGATCCTGATTTGTTGGCTGCCATTGATGAAAGCCTCCAAGATACCTACAACCACAGACCAGTGGCAAGTACATGTACAGCATCAAGCAATGCCCATGAAGTCATCCAGAGGTTCATTTCAGACAACTTAGACAACCTTGTGCACGTTATAATATTGCGCAAGAATATTATGCAGTCAACTTTAGCAGCAATTCAAAGAAAACGTTTTGGCCTTTGCAATCGCCTTGCCATCAGTTTTAGTGGAGAAGATGCAGTGGATGTTGGTGGGCCAACACGGGAATTCTTTAGACTTCTAATGAGTAGTCTTAAAGGAACTGGCATTTTTGAAGGTAGCTGCTTCTCACATGACCTGAGAATGTTGAGTAATGACAAGTACTACCAAGCTGGAACACTGGTTGCTTGGAGTGTCCTCCATGGTGGCAGTGGACCAAAGTGCTTGGCAAAAGAGGCGTACTGTATCCTTCAAGACATCCCTGTGGAGAGTAAAGTGGCAATCAAGAAGATAACAGACGCAAAGTTGAGAGAGGCCATCGCTGACCTTGAAAGCTGTTCTGAAGATGAATTCCAGTCAACTGTCAGTAAACATGCAGATACTGTAGCAGCATATGGCTACTCAAATGTCTACACTTGCAAATATAACCAGAAAGATGAGATGATTAACTGTTTGTTAAAACAAGTATTTGTTTTTGGTGTGTTTGCTGAAATCAATCAGTTTAAATGAGGCATGAACGAAATTGGATCTCTAGGAGACATTGTCATGTCCAATGCAACATTCTTTGATGAAATCCTAAGTGATAAAGAAGATGATCTCACCCTTGTTACCTTCAAGAAATTGTACCAAGTATGCTATTCTGATGTTGGGTCAAACCGCAGGCAAGAGGAGGAACAAGCGATGTACAGTTTTGAACTGTTCCTCCAGGATCTAGCAGAAGGCGAAACCCCAGAGCTGAAGCTATCGGATCTCCTGATATTTCTAACAGGAGCAGAGAGAATTCCTCCCCTTGGATTTCCTAGTTCACTTGTATTGGAGTTCTACGACAACATTGATGGAGAAAAGCGATTACCATGGGCATCCACCTGCTCTCTCACCCTCCACCTTCCAAGGCAAAACAATTCACCAGAAGAGTTGAAATGTCTTCTTCGTCAGAGTCTTCAAGATTGTCAAGGTTTTGGAAAGTGTTAGATTGACGAAGAGTGGACACTAATCTAAAAAATGTCCTCTGCTCACAGGGAAGTTTAGACATTGGTTTTTGCAATTGAAAATCAAACAGTTTTGTTGTTACCGCATGATTGTCTGTATTAAAGTTAACGACCCAGTTATCTATTTCACTATTAACATATGATTTAAGCTTATTAATTGCCTTTTTTTCTTTGGAACATTTTTTTGCCATTTCCATGAATTCTGCATTGCTGTATTTTTTATTTTATGCCAAAGTGAAGGCATGAATTTTAACAGTTGTTGTTTTACAGGGGAATTATTTATACATTCAAAAAATTAAAAAGCAATATCTATAAGATTCTACTCACATTTAGCACTCAACTTTACTACTAGTTTATATACAAAACTTATTACTGAGGATCAACGCCCATAGATACATGCAGTCCTAGACTGCCTATATTGATTACTTGTTATTGCAATATCATGGGATACATTTAAAATATGATATTTTGCTTTGTTCAGATTGTTGTGTTATGGTCAAGTTCAAAGTACTCGGTGCAGGAGGATGCAAAGAATGCGTAATGGCTGTATAAAGCATTTTGATATATCGTTATCATTAAACTCTTGTTTTATTAAAAGATTGTTTCATCTCTTGCTCACTTTAGTTTTTATACTACCTTAATATACAATCTTACTTAAAGCATTTTGATATATCGTTATCATTAAACTCTTGTTTTATTAAAAGATTGTTTCATCTCTTGCTCACTTTAGTTTTTATACTACCTTAATATACAATCTTACTTAAGCCACAGCTACAGAACCGATTTTTTGATTCAATATAATAATTGTCTAGCCGTGGATTTACAGTTTGAATACTCTAACCAAATTTGAAATGAAGTAAAAACCTGCTTCTCTTGTAAGCGACCACTTTGGGGTCAGGATAAAGCAGTCGCTCATGGCAGATGGCCACTTACAAGAGCGGAAAACAAGAATCCCAAATAATGAGAATCCTAACACAGGAAGACGAAACCATTCCTTATTTGTTCTTGTACCAACATGTTCAAGTTTATTGATACAAGTAAATTACATATGTTTTAGAGATTCCAGTGACCTACATATAGTACAGACTAATCGAAGGAAGTCCACTGGATTACAAATTAATTTAATAACCCAAATGAATAATATAATTGATCTGTAAGTCTCTAATTTTATAATATCATAATATACAATAATTATGAGAAAATAAGAAGTCTGATTTTTGCATTGTTTACATGTGTGTATTTTCTAACAGTATATATAATAAAGTTTGGCAGAGATTCATTTAATGTGCTTTCAGCTGATTTACAGTAATCTGCAAATACATAACTGTATAGCCTTTTCAATCTCAAAATACAACCACTCACTATGAAGCATAGAAAAGAGTGTAATTTTAACCTTTTTTAAGCAGAGTGACTACAGCAAATCCGTGAAACTTTAGTAATACTAAATTGCACTAAGCTTCTTTTGTTTAATTAGCACTATTTTGTACTAAATGCTATTTAGAGTTTCACGGATTTACTGTGGTTACTTTAAAGGTTTAGCACTATCTCTAAATGAATTTGGTATAGCATTCCAAAATCTAGTGTCTAAAAAACTATCACAGATTAAACTGTTTTGATAAAAATTAAACGTTTAGATATTAAAATTAATTCACAGTATTGTATATAAATTATAAAAAACGGTATGAGCTGAGTTTTATCATAGGATGCTTTCAAGGAACAAACAAAACAAGTCATTTTGAAGAGAATTTGAAAATGATTGCCTGATGTTGATTCAAGACCATAAGAGTGTGAAGCAAACATGCTGTGCCTACTGTCAGCTACTACAGTGAATAATGTAAACATATTTGGAATTTCTGTACCTTATTGTGACTGCTTTTTCACAGTCATATGAAAAAAATAAAAATTGTGGCCAGACATTGTCAGGTGACCAGTCATTAAGCCAAATTGATTACTGTTTTTAGTTTTATGTTATTTTAGCTATTTAATAATAATAATAATAATAATAATAATAATAATAATAATAATAATAATAATAATAATAATAATAATAATAATAATAATAATAATAATAATAANATAATAATAATAATAATAATAATAATAATAATAATAATAATAATAATAAAGGATATATAATAGACAGGGCACATTTCTGTACATGTTCAACGTCTTCCGAGAGATACTGGGTAGGTTAGCAAAAACCAGGGCTGCATATTCCAGCGTTGATCTGATCAATGAGCAGTAAACTTGGATGATATCAGTTGGGGGAACACCACATTTCTTAAGTTTCCTCAAGGCATATACATGTAGGCGTCTGTTGGCATCTGCAACAGTACTTACCAAAAGATGATATGATCTACCAATGTATCAATGCCATGTTTTCCTAGTGACCTTGCTAGTTTTCATTCTCTTTGCTTCATTTGGCATAGTTTACCAGAGACTGAAAAAGCACACCTGCTTCTTTAACAGTAGCTGGTTGTGACAGGCTATTATTGTCCATCACATAAGTGAAGTAGTCTTCCCAAACTAGGTCATCTTGTACTAAAGCAGCGTTCACTGTGTCTTTCATTTCTGAGAGCTTTCGAGGGTAAACCTACTGCAAACAATCAGTTTGTCCATAATCTTCTGGCAAAAAGTACACAACATCAGGGACACCAGAAAATGTGGCATGTTTGGACTTTCTAATTCGATGAGAATTCCAATACTCTTTAACTTTGTCTAAGTCACTTTGAAGCAGATCAGAAAAACAAAACCACAAAGCTTCTCTGTGAATCTCGCTTGCAAGATCGAGAATGTCAGATTCATACAAATCATTGAAAAAATCAATCCACCAGCTTGAACGTTGTTTCCTGTAAGAAGACCAGAAACATTCAATTCTTTGATTGCTTGTACTCGGAACGTATTTATGAGCGTTGGTTCCCGAGTATTGATCAAATCCATCGGCACGTAGATAGCATTGTATGCCTGCAACAAGACCGTTTTCAGTTCCAAGATCGTTGTAAACTCGTGCAGGGCAACCTTTGGCAACTTCGATATAGCCCAAAAAGTATTTTGCAATGACTTTAGGATTTTTATTTGACCTTTGTACCTCAAGCCATAGAATTTTTTGACTGAAACCGTCAATCCCTCCGTGTATTGAAAACCCAAACGGTTTCAATTTATCATATCCGTCAAGGTGCCAGCAAAAGTTGCCGTTTCCTCTCTTCCACGCCACGAGGGTCAATATCACGCAATAATGAAGCAACTACTCTTCGTGGAACATGAATGTGATACCTGATTCGCAGTATATGCCACATAGTACGATAACCATTGAGGCTATCAGGTCCATTTGCTATTTCACGACGTATTATTTCCTTGACACACTGCACGTCAAAATCTTGGCGATGTTTTAGACCATAATCATTCAATCGTCGTTTAAGTGTTCCTATATTGATGTTTATGTTGTGATGCTTATCCAGCAAAAGAATTATATCCTTATACCGAAATCCTCTATGGAAATAGTGTTCAATCAATCAGGCAATTCTTCATGATTGTTAGCCGCCATTTTGTTTTAATTAATTTCTTATGGGCCCGCAATTCATATCCGCTGACATGCGCGCGCACGGGTTTAGGCTTTTGTTTGCAGTGTGCGATTTATTTTGTTTGCAGTGTGCGATATATTTTGTTTGCAGTGTGCGATATATCTTGTTTGCAGTGTGCGATTTATTTTGTTTGCAGTGTTTTATTTTTATTTTCAGTGTTTTCTTTTTGTTTGCATCGTTTTCTTTTTATTTGCAGTGTGTTTTTTTATTTTAAGTGCTGTCCCCTGTGGGCCAAGGACTCTTCACATATACTAATAATTAAAAATCGTTCACAAAATAACACTAAGATAAACTCGAATAATGAAAGTCCAGCCCTAAAAACATATAGTTGCTTATTATTTTGGTGGGTTACTGGTTTCATTTGGAACAAAACTCAATATTTTACCGAATTTTAAATATGTATTTTTTGCCTACTTTTGAAGCCCCAAAAATGACCTAATTTCGGAAGGACAAAATGCAAATTGGTACATAGCCTGGAGTTACGAGACTTCATTCCTGATGAAGACTGATGTTTCTTGTATACAACTGTTTAAAAAAATTTTTGGGCTACTAAAATAAAAAAAATTAAGAGCCCAAAACCTACAGGGCACTCGGGTCAATAATGTCATTGTTGTCACGGTATTGAGAACGTCACAAATTCATAATACGTGACGAAAAAAAGTCATTATTTCCAATTTTTGAGACCTATAAACTCATAACTAACAGTCTAAGTTTCTTACATGCGTTATATTTGATTCATACTCCTTTTGCTTACACTTATTCACTTTTAAGGGTAATAATTCTGTAATCAGTACATTCAACCACTTGTGTTTATACGACCAATAATGTCTTATACCGTAATTCTACAAATCTCGTTTTGCAAATCTAGATGAAATACTAAGAAAATTGTAGTGGAAACTTTGTTTCGAAAATAAAACAGTACCTCGGTGAGGAATATCCAAGTTAACGGCTCTGGTCTTCATCGTGCTCACCATAAGTCCGGCCTCACGTCTCCAACTGACAATATTGCGTGACTGTCCACAGGGAGCCCACTTCTCATAGAAACCGGAAATTTGAGTTTGATTTGTATTTTGGAATAACTTAAAATACTGGAACAAAAAATTTTTTCCCAACATACCAGTCCTTAATCCTTAAACAGTTATTAAGAGGCACAATAGCTACCATGACCTGAGTGGGCATGAGTTGCAGACTCTAATTAGCATGTTTTGCCAGTCTTGTAAGCTGCGGGCTATGCTCACTTTGATAACGTGCAGCTGTCATGGCGTCGTGTGGGTATTCTAGTTTGGTTGTTGGTGCTCGCGGCTGTTCCACCTACAACCCCGCCAATTACCAGTGTGTAACGATTGAGACGTGCACCAAGGACGTTAAAAAGCATTTAAGGCAGTTTGATACCTTTGATTCTGGTTTGACAACGGAGGCCAATCTTCTTCTAGCGAGAGCAGGTAAAACAAACATTAGCTTAAAGTACACTTAATTTAACGGCGGGGAAGAAATCCATTTGATTATTTGAAAAACTTGCATTAAATTTATCCGCTGGAGACAAATTTATTGAAGTGAAGGAAAAAAGAAATATATCAGGTGTCTGCATGTGTTATGGTCTTGAGAATATTCAACAGCGCAATGAAAACTACCAAACATACCAGACCGTGGTAGCAACACAAAAATGCTTTGCCACCTAATTGGAATACTCTCGTTTTAGGTATTTTTTAGAATAAATGATTGCCATTTGAAACTAACGGTTTGTCTTCGACATCGTGATGCATTTGGGATTAGATGCCGTTGTAATAAAACGTCATGTACATCACCGCCAGAGTGGGCTCCACACAAGCAAACCAAAATGAAGGGAGACCAAGGAATAACTTCAAGATAATCACAATTGCTGTACCGTCTAACTTCAATACTTGTCCCAGTTTCATCGCGTAAGTGAAGCATAATACTTACAAACATGACAGTGACTTAGGCCGCACATGTATTTGTTTCTGCACCATTGCCAATAATACCCTATTGTCGTACGGTTTTTAAAAAGTTGTACCGATTAAGGTTAATATATTTTTAAATTCAATTTATTCATCTTCTAATTAAGATTTACTTAYTAGTCATATATATATTTCTATTAAATAGCTATATGCAAAGCGTGCAGTACTTGTGTTTTAAAGGAGATGTCACATGTTGATAGTCGCGAACATGTAAAAACTGAAGACAGCGACTTGCTAGAGGACGAAAACCCTCAAGAAGCCTCATTTGTCTCAGCTAAAGTATACGAGGTATGTCTCTAAAACAACAACAGTTGTAGAATCATTTGGAATTGATTCGGTATGTATGGAAGGCAAAACAAGCTCCATCAAGGCATTGCATAGTACAATTCAGTACAGTAGAATAGTTTTGCAATAAAAAAGTTAGGTTGAATAATTGTCTTGAAAAGTAAAATCAATTAATATAATAGATTAATCATTATGATTAATATTAATGTGATTATGATAAAGATAGACCTAGTAACTTGAGCTACAAATGAGCCCGCAATAATTCGCTGCGCTGCTGCGGCTACCCTAACTCTGAGTGTTGATTTTTTAAGTGATTTTTTGCAAAGAAGTTGATTAATAAATAATAAACAAAATTGCCTGAATTTCTTCATTATTCACTGACGTATACACAGTGTTGTAACTAATGTTTTTGTTTTGTTAATTTTAGGAAAAGGATAGTGGAAGTGATTTAGATATACAAATGAAAAATTTAACGATCGATACCAGTCTGTAGCGGAAGTGACTCAGGCGAAAATCATGGAATAAGTGCCAAACTGGCTCTCCATCACATGAAATTAAATGAGTTTCTGATCGCTAGTGGTAAGACTACAGTGCGTCAGCCGAAAAAGAAGTGGGAAGAACCGAGTAGTCGTACTAAAAACAGTCGTATTCTACAAGCTAAAGTTTGTGTTTGTGTTTGTGTTGCACCAGAAGCTGCCTCCTCCTTATGGGAAGCTTTAAAAGAATCACAGTGCGTTGGAAAGACTTTGTCGCCAGATTCCAGTCCATTTCAATATGATGAAAAGTATTTGAAAGCTCTTGCAGAAGCCAATGAAAATGCCGAAAGCTGGGACACTCGTCGTCAGATTCTTTCAGTTATTGCAGATTTGGCACCTTATCACGTTATTCAAAAGTACATACCAGGTGTAACTGAATACAGAATCAAGACAGCGCGTCACCATAGGCTTCAATATGGACGTGGTTCATCATTGCCGGTTAATAAGAGCACAAGAATGCGAGTTGACTCTTACAAGTTGGACCAGTTTCTCAGCTTTATAACAAGCCCCCATGTTGTTCAAGATTTGCCTTTTGGGCAGCGTTATTTGCATTTATCTGGTGGAAAAGCTATAGAAACTCCAAATGTTATACGAATGATGATTCCCCAGCGTATTATAAGCCAATACCGTCAGTTTTGCAAGGAATCAAGATTCATACCCTTTAGCGAATCTACCCTGGTGCGCATAATATCATCCTGCGCAGCAACAGTGCCGAAATCCCTGCAAGGATTAGACTATTTTGCTGCAGATGGCGCAAAAGCGTTTGCCGATCTCAAGTCGATCACATTAAAGCTGGAACAATACGGAGTTGAGAGGCAGTGGGTGGATAAATGTGAGAAAACTTTGGGAAAGCAGTACCTAAAGACAGTACCTAAAGACAGAAGCAGCAGTAAGGGGGACTCGCGATCGATGTCGTATATTCACGGGTTTTACCCGCGTTATTCCGAAGGCGCCGGCAGCGGGAAATACCCGCGCGACAAGTCCCTTACTGCTGCTGTGTTGGGTACCG